TCCTCCTCCTCCTCCTCCTCCTCCTCCTCCTCCTCTTCAATTGAGGCCTAATGAAAACCGTAATTTTCTCCTAGCCTATGAATAGAGAGTAAAGTGAGCAGAAAAGGTTGGTAACAATGAGTGCGGAAAATATTTTTACCCTAAAAATCCACTTATTTCTTTGACAAAGGCTTCAGGTCTTGGCAGAATGAAACCCAACATTCTTGTGCTTGGATATAAGAAGAACTGGCAGGCAGCACATCCCCAGACAGTGGAAGAATATATCGGAATCCTGCAGTGAGTACCACTGGCTTGTTGTCTTTTAAGCCAGGGGTCCCCAGCCCCCGGTCCGTGGTCCGGCACTGGGCTGCGGCATGCCAAAAACTGGGTATTGCCTACAAGCAAAGCATCCCATCCTCAGGATGCAGGCAGCACCCAAAACCACGTATCCTCCGGTCCACGGAAAAACCTCTCTCCACGGAACCGGTCCCTGGTGCCCAAAAGGTTGGGGACCTCTGCTTTAAGCCATACTTCCCATATCTGGTCTTCTCCAGAGGTCTTGAAGTCCAAAGTGGTCTTCAGGAAAATGTTATTAATCAGTTGCAGCTATCGTCAGTTACATTCTCCCTATCTTGTTGACTTGGTGAAGTAATGCAGGTAGTCCTCTGGTTACAACTTAGTGACAAATTCAGCACTCCCAAAAAAGTGACTTATGACCATTGCAGCCTCCCCATGGTCACGTGATCAAAATTCAGACACTTGGCAACCGACTCAGATTTATGACGGTTGCAGTGTCCCTGGGTCATAGGATCACCTTTTGTAACTTTCCGACAAGCAAAGTCAATCCCATCTCCCTGGGGACACTGCCCCCGTCGTAAATATGAATCAGTGGCCAAGCGTCTGAATTTTGATCAAGTGACCATGGGGACACCGCAACGGTCGTAAGTGTGAAACACAGTACAGTCCTAAGTCACATTTTTCAGTGCCGTTGTAACTTTGAACGGTCACTGAATGAACTGTTGTAAGTTGAGGTCTACCTGTCTTTCCAAAAAAAAATCACACCCTTGTAGTAAAAAAGGAGTAGGATGCGCTTAAGAGTGCCTTCCTTAGAGGAAAAGATGTAGGGACAGACATACTCACTCATTCCATGCTATCCTAGGTGATCAACCTCTGAAAGTCTCCCTCGTGCCGACACTGAGCATGCATTTTTGTTCCCATTCCAGCGATGCTTTTGACTTCAAATACGGAGTGTGCGTAATGCGTGTGAAGGAGGGACTCAATATTTCTCGGATCATGCAGGCTCACGGTGAGTTTCACTATCACACTTCTTCAGGGATTGTGCAGGGAAACAGACTTGAACTGATTCAGCTGCAGGGGGAGGGAAATGTCTTAGAAAGAGGCCCTTTTACGGATCTATTTTTTTTTCATTTTTATCCTGCTTAAATAAGAGAAATTGCATTCAAAGGACTCACTTTTCAAATCAGCGGAGTATCTTACATACTAATTTTAGCAAAGGCAACAATGTCACACATTTTTTTTTTTAAGGCAGAATGTCAATTGCAAAATCCCAGACTCCATCCTATTTGGATGTGGATGTCCTATTTGGAAAATAAAGACAATGCAGGAAGATGATGCTTTGCTTTACAGCCAGTTTTTATTTTTTACTTTTGAATGTAAAAAGTTGTACGGGGGCAGAAATCCTGCTGGGCACGAAAGGAGATGTTCTCAACCAGACTGATCACCCTGGCCCTTGGGGGAAAAACCTGACACTAAGCCATCATGTGGTTCATATGTTTTGTGTAAATCTGTCACTGCGATTGTTTGGAAACCACAGATAAACAAGCAGAGGTTTGCTAAATGCATTCGTCAACTCTGTGCAGTGGTGCTCGTAGCTGGATTAGCACACTGTATGTTGAGCCCTAGGAACAACACGTACAGTTACTTAAGAGTAATTTCCTTTATTGTTCTTCACTTACAGACAAAATCTTGCCAGATTAAAGTAATTACTTGCATCACTATAGATATTTTTATATGTCTGCCTTCCTGCCTGCCTGTCTATTAAACTTCTATGTTGCCTATGTCACCGAGGAGACTTTGGACTGGATATATTCTGGGAATTGCTAGGGAGGAGCTGTTTTAACCCTCTTCCTACCTACCAGACATTCCAAGCTCCGCTGCCTCTTTGCTCTCTGGAATACAGCCACTCCCGCCTGGAAATCCAGACTCCATTCCACCACACTGCAGTAAACCAAACGACACTTAGTTTAACTTAGTGATAAAATTGCAGTAGACTGGGTTTACACATCCCACCAAGCCATAAATTTACAAAAATACAATAGCTAGATTCACTCAGTACCTTATGCCTAGATAAAGTAATCCTCATTATGACTTGATGTACCTCGTAAATGCAGACAACTGTTCATTGTTCAGAATGTCACAGATTTATCTTGCTTATTGTCTCTTTTCCGTCCCCAGTTAATCCAGTTTTTGATCCAGCAGATATTCCTCAGAAGAACAGTGAAGTACCTGCTGTAATGGACACATGTCAGTTCTAAGAAGCTTCTTGACCGGGTTACTGACCAAATCTATTTTCTGGGTTTCTGCTTTCGCTTTGATATATTCACACGGGAATTAGGGAGGGGGGGAAATTAGAGCAGGGGAAATGCCCCCGGGGCCATCTGTGTTCACTCCTGCTGACTGACGCCTGGGAAAATGGTCGCTTATCACCTTTTCGATTCAAAGTTCTCATAACATCTTCGCGCTGGTGGTTGGTTCCCGATGGACTGGGGCACTGGGGCGGGGCTGACATAACAGGACTTTTAGCTCGGTACTTTTGGGTTGGGAGCTTCAGATTCTGCCTTTTGACTCTGCAATCACTTCCTCTCAGTAAAAGATCCTCTTTGAAACAGTGCTTATTTCTTGAGTTGTGCTTTCCTGGAGGAATAGCTGAGGCAGGTCCTTACTCCTCTCCTCTCGTCTCCTCTCGTCTCCTCTCCCCTCCTCTCCTCTCCTCTCCTCTCCTTTCCTCATTCCCTTCCCCCTTCCCCTTCCCCCTTCTTTCCCCCTTTCTAGTGGATCCTGATGCCCTGGTGGCAGAACAACAGGCAAGCACCATTTTCCAGATGGATCAAGGCAAGAAAACTATTGACATCTACTGGCTGTTTGACGATGGAGGTAAGGCTGACTCCTCCTTCCCACGCAGCGCTCGAGAAGGGAGCAAGGCTTGGTGCTGCTAAATGGAGTCTCTCTCAGCTCTGGAGGTCTTAGCAGGGATTCCAAAAAGTTGGAATTTAGTAGATGGACCCAGCCAGTGTTTTGGATCATCCAGGCGACTGATTTTCAACAGTCTAAATTCTGATTTCCTTTCCCCAAAATGCTAGCAATGGCATTGTTTTATTCCAGGAAGTGGTCTCAGAACCATCATTCAGCCCCCTTAGTGAAGCTAATGTGAGGTTCCAAGAACTCATCATCTTATGTTGGCTTGAGTTTTTGGAAGGAATGGTTGGACTAGAAGACCTCCGACGTCCTTTCCATCTACATTAGCAATAGCAAGAGCACTTAGACTTATATACCGCTTCACAGTGCTTCACAGCCCTCTCTGAGCGGTTTACAGAGTCAGCCTATTGCCCCTCAACAATCTGGGTCCTCGTTTTACCAACCTCGGAAGGATGGAAGGCTGAGTCAACCTGGAGCTGGTGAGACTCGAACTGCCAAACTGCTGGCAGCCGGCAGTCAGCAGAAGTAGCCTGCAGTTCTGCGTTCTAACCTCTGCGCCACCACGGCTTTTATCCTGTGTCCTATGGTTTTTCCACCCCCAGGGCTGACTCTTCTCATCCCTTATCTCCTTGGCCGCAAAAAGAGATGGGGGAAATGCAAGATCCGAGTGTTTGTCGGTGGGCAGATCAATCGAATGGACGAGGAGCGGAAGGCGTAAGTTCCACCTACAGGATTCAGGGCTGCTGTGTTCCAAAATATAATAATAATAATAATAATAATAATAATAATAATAATAATAATAATAACAACAACAACAACAACAACAACAACAACAACAACAACAACCTGGGTAAGGACTCGATAGGTAGACAAAACGCCAAATCCAGTCTGAACATCTGGCTGACTGTGCGATGATCCATAATAATAATAATACACCATTTATATAGAGAAATGGAGCGTCAAAACAGTAAAATATATGACAAAGACTATTGAAATCCCTTTTTTCCACTTCTTAATCTTCTTTTTCTTCCTTAGGATTGTCTCTTTATTAAGCAAGTTTCGGCTTGGATTTAATGAGGTTCACGTCCTTCCGGACCTTAACCAGAAGCCCCAACCTGAACAGTAAAGCATTATTACACTCTTATTGTTATTGCCATTAAAATGATTAATGATGCATTAATTTATTGACCAATACCGCAGCATCCAAACATAAAATTTATTATACTGGCTAAAAAATGCATTTATATAAATTACACAGTTGTTAAGTGAATCATCTGGCCATTAAATGAATCCGGCTTTTGACATTTTGCTTGTCTGAAGCAAATTGGTTGCAATTGGGGATCACGTGAACTCAGCATACTGTAACTGTTGTAAAATAATAATAATAATAATAGTAACAACAACAACAACAACAACAATTGTCGATAAGAAAGACAAAAAAGTCTGGATCTGGCAGTGCCTGGAGACAGCAGAATAGACGAGAAAGAACTGGAGAAGGTAACAAAATACAAAGACCTACAAATAGAAATAGAAAGACTGTGGCAAAAGCAATCAAGGGTGGCACCAATAGTAATAGGCGCCTTGGGTGCAATCCCAAAACAACTGGAGCACCACTTGAACACCATTGGCATTGACAAATTCACCATTAGTCAATTGCAAAAGGCGGCCTTACTAGGAATCGCTTCCATCCTGCGACAATATCTGTAATATCATCAAACATCCATATCTGCCTATCCCAGGTCCTGGGTAAGGACTCGATAGGTAGACAAAATGCCAAATTCAGTCTGAACATCTAGCTGACTGTGCGATGATCCATAATAATAATAATAATAATAAAGCTTTGTGTGTGGACCTGGTCTTTCACACCTCGCAATACAGTAGCCAAGAGTTAGTTCTTAAAATTGACCAGGCTCCTTTCTCTAAGCAGGTGTCCCCTTTCGGCTAAGACCAGGGCACGGAAGAATTTGGTTCCTTAATGGAAACTCATGGTGGTTTTATTCCTAGTGTGAAGAGATTTGATGACTTAATTGCTCCGTTCAGACTGAATGATGGTTTCAAAGACGACGCTGCGGTGAACGAGATGCGACATGGCTGCCCGTGGAAAATTTCCGATGAAGAGGTTGCAAAAAACACAGCTAAGGTTCGGAAGACCTAGCCTGGGGTGGATTTCAGACATCAGGACAAGAAGGGGGGGGAAGCAGGGAGACGGAGGCCATCCCTCTTTCATCTGTTTCTAACTCCAGGTCTTTGAATCTGAACCCCTTGGGTCAACCTGGCTAACTTGTCGGGGAAATTTAGAGTTCCTTTTACATTCTGCTTGAAGTTGTTTTCAAGCCTACTCCCTTATGGGAAGAATAAGAGTGCTATTCCAGTATTGCTCTGGAAATTCAACAGCCATTCTACCCCAGATTTGAACTGAATCAGCTTTCCAAACGGAACTGAAAATCCAGACCAAATGATTGAAATTGACCCCCTTTTGTCAAGTCTGTTGGGATCAGACTGAAGAATCAAAGGGGCTGGATTTGATGCATCAAGCTCAAACTATGAATTGACTTTGACTTTTGAAATGGATCAGAGTCACCAATGTATTCCTGGTTATCGGTGGAAGTAGAGGGGTTGGGAAAAGAGATGGGCATGGGCATCGTGAGGTCAGCATACAAATCCTGCGACTTAATTTATGGACCCAAACTCTTGGGACCATTGTGGGCCTCTGAACCTCTACAAGCTTTTGTCCTTGCGATCCTGGTCAATCTGGCCTGGCTTCTTGCTTGCATTGTTGGAATTCAAGATGGAACCGCTGTGTTTCAATCTTCTTTTGGTTTTTATGGAGGCGCCTAATTGGCTGCTCTGTGCACAGAATGCTAGATTTTGAATTTTGGTCTGATCTAGCCAGGTTCTTCTTAGATTTTATAGAGAACCTCCCATCTCATTAGCAGTGTACTTTTTCCAGGACCATTTGCTAGAGACTATAGCGGGGAGTGGATTGTTGTCTGGGTTTCCAACCCCCCCCCCTTTGGGTTTCTTTATATTTATTTATCTGATGGAACCACCAACTGAAGGAGAGAAGGTCCCAATAAGGTAGCTTGAAAGACATTCCAGCTTAGAGTCCATTCAAAGGGGGAAACTTTGAGGTGAAAACCTTAAGTCCATATCTGCTGTTTCCCAAGAGAAGACAATCTGGCAAAGATTCTTCTAAACTGGTGGTCAACAATAAAGAAAATTACTTGGCCCATTGTCAGAGCTATTCTCATTGCTTGCCCCTGACCCTTTATGTCTACCTGTGCTGAGCTTTTTCTACTTTCTATTTCAGTCACTTCGACAAGTGAGAATGAATGAAATTTTGCTGGATTACTCTCGGGATGCTGCCCTTATTTTCATGTAAGTAAGAGCAGTCATAAACGATCAGAATGTAAACCTTACTCATTAGGAGTCGCTAGGGGTAGTATCTTTGTAGAAAAAAGCTGTTGGAAAAGTGTGCTGGCTTAGTCTGGAAGTTGAGTCATGCATTTGGGTTGGGGTTTTTTGTGTGTGTGAGTTTGACAAATTTCGCTGCCCATCCAAGCAGCTTCTTCGGTCTGAACAAGTTAACCATTCCAGTCGCCATGACTCAATTTCCAGACAATTCTACCTGGATGACTGAGAATCTTCAGTGACATATTGCCATGCACTTTGGAGAAGAAACGCTGAGACTCTGGAAAGGGTGCAGGGAAGAGCAGCAAAGATGATTAGGGGTCTGGAGTCTAAATCATACGAAGAACGGTGACAGGAATTGGGTATGTCTAGTCTAATGAAAAGAAGGAGTAGGAGTGACACAATAGCAGTGTTCCAATATCTGAGGGGCTTCTACACAGATGAGGGGGCCAAACTATTTTCCAAAACCCCAAAAGGCAAAATGAGATGGCTGCTAAAATACTAAGGGAAGACTGCACCAATATACGTAGTTTCTAAATACCCAAATTCACGTTCATTGCGTCTATGACACTAACCATCTCCTCCTCTGCCATCCCTTTCTCCTTTTGCCTTCCATCTTTCCCAACATCAGAGACTTTTCCAAGGAGTCTTCTCTTCTCATTTGATGGCCAAAGCATTTAAGCTTCAGCTTCTGGATCTGTCCTTCCAAAGAACAGCCAAGGTTGATTTCCTTTAGGTTTTTGGTAGACAAATACAAACTTGTTTTCTTTCTCTTGTTCCTTGTCACCTGTTCAGAACTATGCCAGTTGGCCGGAAGGGGTGTCCCAGTAGCCTGTACATGGCTTGGCTGGAGACTCTCTCGCAAGATCTGAGGTCTCCCGTGATCCTGATCAGAGGCAACCAGGAAAATGTCTTGACTTTTTACTGTCAGTAGGACCTTTTTATTGTCAGCCGGAAGAAGGAAATTCTGGACTGATCCTGTTTTGCTGATGAGCTATCAAGAGGCTCCATTGCAGGGATGAAGGCCAAGAATAAAAGACTGGAAAACAAATTTTGTTGGATTGTAAGAATCCTCTTCTTCAGAACTGTTCATGTTGTAATATTGGGTTTGTTCCTTGTGCTGAATCATAGTTTGTTTAATCATGGTTGGAAAAATAAGCCGCAATTGGTGGGGGCTCACACAACGTGCCATGTCATCAACTCTGAATGGTATATTTGCTGGTCTCCCAAAGCAACCTAGCACAATGGCTACATTTGAGTGAATTTCATTTGCACTGACACTTAATTCAAACTGAATATACGGTAGCTGGAAACTAAATAGATTAGTGAAGAATTTCAGACCCCATTGGTATCTGTTCACAAATACATCTTGAATTCTGCATTAACTCACTTCCTGGATTCTTGTACTGCACCGAATCATAAACTAATTGAATGAACTGAACTCACCCACCTGGTAAGCCACCCAAGATATAATAAAAATTGAAATTCACCAAAGTTAGCCTATTATATGCATACGGCAGTTAGTTCTTGATCTGACTTTTTAAGTACGTGGTGCTTAAAAATGACAATTGATACCAATTTTTAGAAATCAAAGGAGGTCAGATCAGGGTTTCTGAACCTCCACAATTAGAATAGACTAGAATAGAGCTGGAAGGGACCTTGGAGGTCATCTAGTCCAGCCCCTTGCTCGAGCAGGAGAACCTATACCATTTCAGACAAGTGACCGTCTAGTCTCTTCTTAAAAACCTCCAGGGATGGAGCACCCACAATTTCTGGTGGCAAGCTGTTCCATTGGTTAATTGTCCTCACTGTTAACACTCCTCTACATTATCCTAATACACCACAAGACTTCTAGTAATCATATTGGACCGAGCAAGTTCCCACATTTCTGGTAGATGGAGCAATCTCTTTCACTCATTAAGCATTGCCTCTGTCCTAGAGCCCAACTGAATGTAGCTTCTATGTTTCATCATCATCATCATCATCATCATCATCATCATCATCATCATCATCATCATCATCATCATCTTGCATTAGTTGCAGTTCCTGAATAAGCAGGGGACAGCAGGTCCTAGAAGTTCAATATATTTTGTCCAGGAATTCAACAATTCAGATGTCTCTCCAGTATTAGCAGATGGTGCATTTCCAGCCTTGCTATATGCAGTAGATAATATACATAGCAAATTAATGGAACCCCAACAGACCAGGTCTAAATATCTTGGGGTGCAGTTCCAGGCTTTCTTATCTTGGAGGACGCACGTCTTTTATTGGGCAAGTGTGCTTCTTTGGACACTATGTGAAGACCTAGAAAAGGCTCTAATGCAGGAAAAAATGGGAGGACGGGAGAAGAGGACAAGCAGGGGCAAGGTGGATGGACTCAGCTAGCATGGCGATGGGGGTACTGTTGGGGAGAGCTGAAGGACCAGCCTAGGGACATATGGTTATGGAGAAAATCTATGTTATTGCTAGGAGACAACATTGATTTGGTGACATCTAATCAATCAATCAATCAATCAATCAATCAGATATCTTAGTAGAGGGGGAAGTTCTCTCTTAGAGCTTCCCCTGTTGGTGGAAGCTTTGCAGCTGGTTTGATGAAAGTAAGTTCTGAGGAGCTAGCAAAGAACCTCTTAGGACAGGGGTCCCCAACCCCCGGTCCGTGGACTGGTACCGGGCCACGGCATGCCAGCAACCGGGCCACACAAACAAGCAAAGCTCCATCCGCGGGATGCAGGCAGCATACAAAACCACGCACTCTCCGGTCCGTGAAAAAAACTCTCTCCACGGAACAGGTCCCTGGTGCCCAAAAGGTTGAAGACCCCTGTCTTAGGAGGTTTCTGCAGGAAGCAGGTGACTTACTCAGTACCGCCTTGGGTTTTGTAACTGGAGCAAAATTTTGTTATCCCTTGTTCACACAACATACCCCATTCCTGTTTCTTATATGACATGACTCTCTTGTTTGGAGAAAAAAAAACTACAGGCGGTCCTTGCTTAATAACCCTAATTCAGGTCAGCAACTTTGCTGCTAAGTGAAGTGGTGGCTAACTGGGGCACAAGACCATAAGTGCGTTTTCTGGCTGGACTACAGGCAGTCCTCGGCTTACAGCAGTTCATTTAGTGACCGTTCAAAGTTACAAGGGCGCTGAACAAAGTGACTTCTGACTGTTTTTCACAGTTATGACCTTTGCGTCATCCCCCTGTGATCAGGTGATCAAAATTCAGACGCTTGGCAACCGGTTCATCTCTATGAACTTTTCTCTAGCGCTTATGAAATCATAATCATAATTTCTTTTGATTAGCCCGTGGGCCATATCAAGGTGCAGAGTTCCAAACGCACGTTATACTAAAATGCAGTAAAAACAATTTAGAATAAAATTGGTTAAAATGTAATTTAGGATAAAATAGAAATAAAATACAATTTAAAATGAAATTGGGATACAATACATTTAAAAAATGAAATTAGCATCAAATACGGCAATTTAAGATGTAAATAGATTAAAATACGATAAAATTGTATTTCACTATCGCCCCTGCAATCTGCCCCAATGTCTCACCTATGCCGACCTCAGCCGAACCATTTTGTTCAGATACTGTGCTGTGTAAATGTATTTTTCAAATTTTATATGTTGTTTATTTATTTTAAAACATTTATATAGCTGCCCATCGTCTAACCAACTCTGGGAGGTCCCCCAACGAAAGTTAAAACATACAAAATCATATTGCAACCACAGAACTAAACCGCTCAAAACATTAAAAACAGCAAAGGCATGGATGGTGCCTACTCAAGCTTCTAATGTGCAATTAATCAATCTTGTCCCAGCGTTGTTGAGGGAATAAACTTCCGCTTTGGCTTTTGGCCAGCAGAGAAAAACAGCTGCTGCAGAGACACACAGAGGGAGACCTCCCTGCTTCGGACATGACTCTTTTCAGCTGTCTGCTTGTTCTTTGCCTCCTATTCTTCTGGTTCTGGAAGAGCACACGTCCCAAAGGCTTTCCCCCAGGGCCATGGAGGCTGCCCCTGTTTGGGAATCTGCTTCAGCTCAATATGAGGGACCCTCTGAAGGGCTTGGATCAGGTAAGGCTCCTTAAGTTGCCCTGACGTTAAACTCCACGGAGTGCATTTGCTGAAAAGAAAGAGGTTTGGCTGCATTTTTTTTTTAAGGAGGCTGCCTGAGCGATGCTGGGCCTGCTAAATGTTTCTGCATATGATTGAAAATGTATTCTGCAGCCGATTTAGGAGTAATGTTGAGAATGTTATGCAGATGTGGAAATTCCAGCTACGCAAAGATGTACATTTGATTCGTAGCGATCCTAACCCACGAGGGCATTGAGCTGCTTCCGAAAGATTCTCCAGAATTTATTTGCATTGCGTAGAGAGTTGATGAATGTTAGGAGAGTTTATGAATTCCAGGAATCAGCTCTGCCGCTTTCCCAAGAAATGTTTGGAATTTCCTAGGATACAACCAGAAATCTTTCTCGATCACCTTAAGACTCCCCAAATCCTTTGGAGAAAGGAGGAGAAAAGGTCATTCAGCTGTTGGAAGTCACTGCTTTCCCTTTCTTGCATTTCCATTCTGTCACTTTGATGCTAAATCCCTATTATGTACTAATTAGGGGAAATTGTTTTTAAACAAACACCAACATGTAGCAATTCCCCTGTGTAAAATGTCCACCTCTATTAATTTGAGAGTTTTATGAGGAGGCTTCTGATTAAAGGGTTCATTAATAAGGGGAATAATTGTTAGAGTTGGCACGTTGTCTTTGCTCTAAGGAGGGGTGTGAATTTTCAAAAATGGCACAAGTTAGAGAAGGAACATTGTTGTTCCTGTGTGTTTCTGGCTTGTTGTTTGCACAAATGAGGACAAGGGCACTGCCCTCTTGGAAAATAAGGTCTGTCAGGAATAGTTCTTTGAGCGGAATTAAACTTTAAACATTTCTACCTTCTGTTTGATAGATTAGCATGAAGTATACCCAATAGCAAAAACGGAAAGGTTATTTAAACATTGAAGTGGAGTCATGTTGTAAACAAAGAATGAAGAGGAGGTTGCTGGAAAACCATGCTCGTATTGTCAGTTCTAATAGTATGGTCTTTTCATATCAGATTCAAATGACTCTTTTGCCAGCTGGTTCTATGTTAAGAGCCCTGTTAGCACAGGGGTTAAAATGCAGTACTGCAGGCTGCTTCTGCTGACTGCCGGCTGCCAGCAGTTTGGCAGTTCGATTCTCACCGGCTCAAGATTGACTCAGCCTCCCATCCTTCCAAGATCGGTCAAATGAGGACCCAGATTGTTGGGGGCAACAAGCTGACTCTGTAAACCGCTTAGAGAGGGCTGTGAAGCACTATGAAGCGGTATATAAGTCTAAGTGCTATTGCTATTCCTCCTTCCTTCCTTCCTTCCTTCCTTCCTTCCTTCCTTCCTTCCTTCCTTCTGTGGTGGTGCAGTGGTTGGAATGCAGTATTGCAGGCTGACTCTGCCCACTGCCAGGAGTTCAATCCTGATCGGCTCAAGGTTGACTAAGCCTTCCATCCTTCCGAGGTCGGTCAAATGATAGAACCCAGATTGTTAGGCTGACTCTGTAAACCGCTTAGAGAGGGCTGTAAAGCACTGTGAAGTGTTATATAAGTGCTATTGCTATTGCCCATCCGTCCATCTATCCATCCATCCATCCATCCATCCATCCATCCATCCATCCATCCATCCATCCATCCATCCATCCATCCATCCATGATGTGCAATGGTTAGAATGCAGTATTGCAGGCTAATTCTGCCCACTACCAGGAGTTCAATCCTTACCAGCTCAAGGTTGACTAAGCCTTCCATCCTTCTGAGGTCGGTCAAATGAGGACTCAGATAGTTGGGGGCCATATGCTGTAAACCGCTTAGAGAGGGCTGTAAAGCACTGTGAAGCGGTATATAAGTCTAAGTGCTATTGCTACCAGCCCAAAAAAACAGGAAGAAGAACTATATTGTTATTTATAAATAAGCCCTTTTCCCTCTACATTACGGTGAAATCCAATTAATGTTCTGCATACAACATACTTAGAAGCATGATTGTTCAACTTCATCCTTGGTGATGCTACGCTGCATCATTGCAGGGACTGGTTCTCAGTGATTTCCTAGTAACTCTTTGTTCATCCTGTTTTTTTCATTTCAGTTTGCAAAAAAATATGGTCCTATCTTCTCTCTCTATATGGGAAGCAAACCTGTAATCATAACTCATGGATTTCGTTCAGCAAAAGAGGTCTTCGTGACAAAAGGCACAGAATTTGCTGGGAGATCAGACTTTTACATTATGGATATGATCACTAAGAAAAAAGGTAAGGATATAATTTCCAAGCACTTGTAGTTTGATTATCGAATATCCTCTGTCCTTTTCCCTCTGAATGCTAGCGTGCTGGACCAAACTTTCAAGTAAGAGAAGATCAGCTATAATTTCAGAATCGGTTAACCAGAAGGACGTTCCAAATGAATGCATGCTTCCTAATTTTTAATTATCTTTGACTTTACAGGCATAGTCGCACAGCCTTATGGGGAAGTGTGGAAGGAACAAAGGAGATTTTCACTGATGCTTTTCAGAAACTTTGGCGTGGGCAAAAATCTGATGGAGGAAAGGATCTTGGAGGAGTCAGCTTACTTGATTCAGGCTTTTACCAAGAACGGGAGTAAGGTCTCCTGGGAAAGGATGGGAAGGGTGCAAATTGTCATTTTGATGTCGCTTCCTTTTCCACAGGACACAGTTGACCTCAAAGTTGGCCAGTGAACAGGGCACTAATGCAGAGTAGGAGAAGCGTAGAATGCTGCCCTTACGTAGAATTCAAAGCCCTGTTGGCCAAAACAAGACCAACATTTTGTTTTTTTTAATTGTAATGTTTCTAAGGTTGAAGTCCTGTAACGTTCTTGGTTGGCAGCCACCATTTACTGGGTCTGTGTTCCCCATTCACACACTCTGGTGAGAGATAAGTGCCCTGAAGATGGGTTCCAGAACAAGTCTGAAAGCTCGGAAGTCTAAACCTTTGCTCCTGATGACCGGCCCAAATTGGATCCTGCAACATTATCCTGGGACACGTATATTTGCCTTAATGGAACATAGAATAATGGAGCTGGAAGGGACCTTGGAGGTCTATGGTCCAACCCCTTGCTTGAGCAGGAGACCCACATCATTTCAGACAAATGGTTGTCCAGTCTTATTTTTCTTCATTCTATGTTCCCCATGCTTCATACTGGCCCCGTGATGTCTTAGTAGCCTTCTGTAGTATGATGATGCTCCAGAAGCATTAAAGTGCAAAGATGACCATTCCTAGTATCAATGCAATGTGTGCTGGGCTTAAGAGTCCATTTATTAGAAAAAGATTGAAAATAGCAGGTGCTTTTTCATCCTGGTGAGTCAGCTACCGCAAATTCATTGTGAGCATTAGTCTCCATAGTGGACTTACTTTGTAGTCTTCTGATGAAATTTCTGCAACTCACACACCGGATTAAGGGATCCTATATTTCAATCACCCTGAAAGAAAAATGCAGGAGAATGGGTATATATCAGAGTTGGGCATTTTACAGTCCCCAGGCCATATCCAGCCCTTTGGGTGTCCTTGCCCAGCCTGTGTGGGTTGCTTTTATTTTGAAGGCAACTGCTATTTATTTTTTCAATTTATGTCTATGCGTGCATATATGCCTAGATACCTTCACAGCCCTATTGGTTCAGCCCTTCACAACCGTCCCAGTTTCTCATGTGGCAGAAATGAATCTCCTAACCTGATCTATAGTGATCTCTTTTCTTTTGTTGTATTCTGCAGGTGAGCCTTTTGATCCTTATGAGTTCACTGACGGTGCGGTCACCAACATACTTTCCACCATAATATTTGGGAAACGTTTTGAATACAACAGCGGCTTCTTGAAATACCTGCTGGACCTGATCCATCAAAACATCAGACTGCCCGCAGGACCCTGGGCCTTGGTATCCTATTCTTCTTCTTCCTAGTGATTTCCCCACAAGTTCAGAATCCCCTTTTTTCAGCTCAACTGAACGTTGATCCATTGGTTCCTGATGTTGTGAGTCGCAAGAGACTGACTGGCTCAAAGTCATCCATCTGACTTTCCTGCCTAAAGTAGAACTAGAATTCAGTCCCTTGTTTTCTAGACCAACACCTTCACCACTATGTCAGAGTGGCTCTGAACTGGGTATAATACATCTATATTTAAATTTCAGTTTATTTGGACGTTTGACTCCCTTAGGGATTTTCTTTTCTCTTTCAATTTATCCTACAAAGAAGACTCCACCACGATCAAATTAACCAATTTTGGCTTTTTCTGTTTGCTTGGCAGCTTTTCAATGCTGTGCCTTTAGTGAGAAGGCTTCCCCTTCCCCATCAGAAAATAATAACAAATACCCATAAAATGTTTGCTTTGGTTGAAAAAGAAATAGAGGAACACAAGGCGACCGTCACTCCTGGAGATCCCCGGGATTTTACTGATGCCTATTTAGAAGAAATTCAGAAGGTAGATTCCTCAGTTTTGTTTTCGATTTGTGTATATATATTTATGTAGAATTCTTTATTGGCCAAGTGTGGTTGGACACACAAGGAATTTGTTTCCGGTGCGTAAGCTCTCAGTGTACATACAAGTAGTAGTGATAATCATGATCATAAACAACATGAAAATAAATTCATCATAAAGCATAAGATGCAACACTTAGTGATAGTCATAGAGTACTAGCTAAGCAAACAAGATAAATAATACTAGGATACCCAAAAAAAACAATATAAATTGTAAGATACAAGCAGCAAAGTTATAGTCATAGGAAGATAAGGATAGGTAACGGTTAACTGTGCATTTCGTCATTTTGCATCTCCTTCTCTAACATGACATATTCAAGTACAACAGTTCTTTGGCGTATGGCTGTGATTTAGTCTGATATTTAAAGTACCAGAAACTTTTTCTTTTGGTTAAAAAAATATCAGTGTGATTAAATGAAGATCTGTCTAGAGTCCTCATAGAGCAGAGGAAGCTGTGGGGAGAACTCCTTTTCATCATTAAATTCCTGAATTGTTTTTGCCCTGATGAAACTTGGGCATTTGAAGATTTGGTGCCACTTTGCTTGCTTGCTTCTTCTCTTCCTGCTTCTTTTCCTTTTCTAGTGATACTTTTCAAAATAAAGTCTTCAGGACAAAGCTTCCTTCCTTCCTTCCTTCCTTCCTTCCTTCCTTCCTTCCTTCCTTCCTTCCTTCCTTCCTTCCTTCCTTCCTTCCTTCCTTCCTTCCTTCCTTCCTTCCTTCCTTCCCAATGAATACATATGTGGTAAAAATCCATTCTTTGTGTTAACTATCCATAGCCAGAGAGAAAAGGTTCAAGTTTTGAAGAAGAACAACTACAAGTCTTATTGTTTGACCTTCTCATAGCTGGAGCAGAGACAACATCAGGAACCCTGCAGTGGGCATTGCTCTATCTGGTGGCCTTTCCAGAGATCCAAGGTAAAGAATTGTGAAACGGTGCACTTTAGTAGAAATAGTAGTATCTTCACCAATGATATAAAATGGGAAAGGAGGGAACTGGCATCATAGCAGGAAATTCAGAAATCTCTGTACAACAGTTGGTTGGGAAGCAAACTACGGTCTTCTTAAAGGCAATGAAATATTTTCCAGAAGGTAATTGACCTACTTGTCCCTCAGAAAAATGCTGGAAGGAAATAGACACAGTTCTGGGAAACAAAGCAAGAGTGAAATGTGAAGATCGAATACGGTTGCCCTACACAAATGCTGTCATTCATGAAATCCAACGCATATCAAGTATAGTTCCTCTTGGAGTAACTCGTAAATCCATTAATGATGTGCACCTTTTTGGATACAAAATTCCCAAGGTAAAGGCAGAGACCTTTGAGTGTGAACTGTGTAGTGTTGGTGATTCCACAGGCAAATCTGTAGTTGTCTGATGTGAGATGTCTCTGTCTCTGTCTCTGTCTCTGTCTCTGTCTCTGTCTCTGTCTCTGTCTCTGTCTCTGTCTCTGTCTCTGTCTCTCTCTCTCTCTCTCTCTCTCTCTCTCTCTCTCTCTCTCTCTCTCTCTGTGTAGAGAGAGAGTGTAAGAAATTGAGAAACATCCTGATATTCGATGTGGAACGAAGACAAGACACTTAATAATATGCAGGAGTGGGATGGGGAGGATGTCTTTTCGTGAAGACTTTTCAACAAGACCAGTTTCTGACATCTGAGCCATTCTTAGCTAGGATTGGTGGGGAGGAACTGATGGTGACAATATCTCCTGCCTTGGTCCCTCACGCCTCTTTTTCTAACACTGAGTACTGTACAGCAACGTTCAGATCTTCTCCCTGCTCCTTCTCACCCTCATCTGCTGTCCTTCAACCACATCTCAATGGGGTCTACCTGGAAGTTCACCCAGAGCCATGTCTGACAATGAGGGCTTTCTTCAAGATGACCTATTTGTTTTGACTTGTGCAGGACACCATGGTTTTAGTCAATATCCACTCTGCCCATCGTGATGAATCTCAGTGGAAGTTCCCCAATGAATTCAACCCCTCCAACTTCCTGAATGAAGAGGGAGACTTTGTGAAGCCGGAAGCCTTCATGCCGTTTTCAGCAGGTGAATTTCTCTCTTTCTCTCTCTCTTTCTGTCTCTCTGTCTCTTTGTCTCTCTCTCTCTCTCCCCCTCCCTCCCTCCCTCTCCCTCCCTCTCCCTCTCCCCTCCTCTGTCTCTCTCTCTCACACACACGCACACACTGTCTTGTTTTCTCTCTACGTCCTGCAACCTTTCTTTAGAGACTTATGGAAGTCAGCTCATGGGCCTTGATTATACTTCAGTGTCCATAGGAAAAGGGAGCCGAAAAGAAACACAGGGGACTATGTTGAAAACTATCACTTCAGAACAGCTGAAAAATGTTCCCTTGTGGTCACAGAATTCACAGACATCATCTCCTGTCTGTGTGAAAGTCTTGTGGGAGGTTTTCTGTGTGAAAGTCTCTTTGGAGACGGTCCGGCAAGGTGAAGCAGAGGACATGGTCAATTCCTGAGTCCCCTTCAGACAATTCTTGTGTCTTTTAAGCAGCTGCCTCAGTTGAAATAGATTCTCCAAAGAATTTCAGCAATGGAATATTTTCACTATTGTGCACCAGGAAGTTTTTTTTATCATTGCAGCCCACAAAGAAAGCTAAACATAAGCTTTATTGACAAAAATGGACCCTGACAAGAAGAGTTGAATCACTTAAATACATGGTCCTCTCCCTCTCTATGATGAAGAAACCATGACCAGTCTAGGAATTGCAACAGGTTGCCAGCTTTCCGCTGTCTGAAGCTGCATGATCTCCCTCTTTCTTCTTGACTTGTGTCTTTTCAGGTCCGAGAATGTGCTTAGGAGAAATCCTGGCTCGGATGGAGCTCTTCCTCTTCTTCACCAGCATTGTCAGGAACTTCCATTTATCGTGGCCAGATAAATCTCAAGCGCCAGATTTCACACCCCACTTTGCAGTTACACAATCCCCATCCCGCTTTAAGGTATTGATGAAATGTCGCCAGCCAAGTGAACAGATGTAAGGGAGGATCCGCAAGACAACTGCTTGAAGACAACATCATTCTCGCCAACATCCCTAGACCATGTCTACTTCACATTCACCACAAAGTCATCTTCAACAACATAAATAAAGTGCTAGCTTATACCACATTGTCCAGTGGATGATCAGTCTTGTTTATGATGGAAATGAATTTCATTTTCCAGGTTTCTTCTCTCTATCGTCAAGGTTACCGGAAGGAAGAATGGAGAAGAGCAGAGTCCATAGCTTGTTTATCAGATGGCTCCTCCTGGCAAGAGAATCTGGGGCCTGTGCAGGGTGGGGGAGGTACGTAGGTGAGGTGGCTTCTGGGGACCCATCTTCCTTGGTCTTTGCCAGTCAACCACACAAGCAAGGCCAGGCCAAGAAGCAGACCCCACTGGGATTTCAGGAATGCTACTTTATTTTGGAGGATGTATTTACAGACTCTTGAAAGTCTCTCCAAACTCTTCATGGCCTCTTTTGAGGCCAGTGGATGATCAGTCTTGTTTATGATGGAGATGAAATTTATTTTCCAGGTCTCTTCTCTCTATCGTCAAGGTTACCGGAAGGAAGAATAGAGAAGAGCAGAGTCTATAGCTTGTTTATCAGATGGTTCTTCCAGGCAGGAGAATCTGGCCCTTATAGGGTGGGGGAGGTATGCAGGGGAGGTGTCAAAGGGACAATATTTTTTTCCCAAAGCTAAAGAATATTAAAAATATACAAAATCTTTGAATCTCTGATGCTGGTGCCCACATTGGCAGCTTTGGTATAGTTTGACTACGGCATCCACTTTTCAGAGGGGGGGGGACCATATAAACTTTCTGGATGTTTGCCTCTCAGATCCCTGGGAGATGTGACAATCCACCATGGTTGAACCATGGCTTTGGGATCTTGATGTGAATATGGCAGACTAGGGTTGCATCTTCGGATTTGACTGCCTTTGGATCTGATTTGATCTGGATGCCTTTGGATTTGATTGAACTAAGGAGAAAACTCCGAACAGTGAGAGCAATTAATCGGTGGAACAGCTTGCCTCCAGAAGTTGTGGGTGCTCCATCTGGAGGCTTTCCAAAAGAGACTGGACAACCATTTGTCTGAAATGAGAAGGGTCTCCTGCTTGAGCAGGGGGTTGGACTAGAAGATCTTCAAGGTCCCTTCCAATTCTGTCATTCTATGTTCTATGCCTAAGTGAGACAAATGCAGTTGTTCTTCATGGCTTCCTTTTTCTTGCATGCCAACGGTTGTTTATCTTCTGCTGGAAATGCAGCGATCAGTGCTGGTTATATAATGCTGACATCGCAGTCTGGTTTGGAAGCATCGCTGCTTCAGACAGGAAGGCGGGGCAGAGAGTGGTGAGGACGACAGAAAAGATCATTGGCAGTTCCCTCCCTTCCATCCAGGACATAGCACAGAAGTGTTGCTTGAGCAGGGTCTGCAGGATTGACTGGGACGCGACACATCCTCTTCACGACCTGTTTTCCTTGGTTCCTTCTGGGAGGAAGGGGCTCCGTGGTCTCCGAAGCAGAACTTCCAGATTCAGTCACAGTTTTGTTCCATACAGTATTAACCTTGTGAACTCTCAAGCTTCCTCTTTCCGGTAGGTATTCAAGATGGACAGTGATTTATATTTATATGTATTTATATATGTAAGGGTGTAGGTACGTATATACTTACGTTGTGTATAGCATGTTTATATGTGTGTTATGTATGTGTACACTTTTGAGAGCAGGCAACAGAATTTCATGTTTAATGTGTGCCAGTGTGCCCACAGTAAAAAATGACAATTAAGGTTATCTATCTATCATCTATCTATCTATCTATCTATCTATCTATCTATCTATCTATCTATCTATCTATCTATCTATCTATCTATCTATCTATCTATCATCTATCTATCTATCTATCTATCTATCTATCTATCTATCTATCTATCTATCTATCTATCTATCTATCTATCTATCTATCTATCTATCTATCTATCTATCTATCTATCCTCGCTCCCCCCAGGAATTGCCTTTCTTTCTTTCCTTACCTGACTTGGAATTGATTGATTGATCTTTTTACTCCCAAAACATCTTCCTTTGTTTCCCTGCATGGGGCAGCAGCAGATCACGAAGGAGAAACGGCAAGGGCTGGGAGTCAGGTAAGGAAAGAAAGGCAATTCCTGGGGGGAGCGAGGATTTCTTTCCTTACCTGCCCCACTTGTCCGAGGCTGCTTTCCACTGAGCCACGTTGCTCTTGCCAATGGCTCGACTGCCCATTTCAGCACCCTCCGTCATGCCTCCAGCTGATCCGAGGAAGACATGGAGTTCTCTGTTGAGGCCCAGGAGGGGGGGGTCTGTGGCTTCAGAGGACTGTGGGGAGGAACAGGCTGAGGCAGGCCAGGGCCCTTCAAGTTTGGAACAGGGAAGGCAGAGCTCAGGCGAGAAGCAAAGCCCCTCCCCACCAGATGCCAGAGCAAGGAGAGCAGAGAGGAGGAGGGAACAAGGGAGTCAGGCTCACTTGCTCGGGAGGAGAGCATCCAGCGCCTCTCCACAAGGCACACCTGGGGATTAGGATTTAAGGAGACGCTGTGGGGTGGGGCATTTGCCGGGAACAAACGTGGGATCTTGAGATAGTTGTGACTTGTGGTCTTGTAACCTGGACACTTTGAATTCCGGACCAGTTTGTTTCCTGCTTCACGACCACAGACTACATTCCTGAGTCTCTCCTTGCAGTCTGCAGTTCGCAGGCAAGCTGAGAGTTAAAAGGACTCTTTACATTTTCTGGTTATCTGTCTTCTCTTGAGAATATTGTAAACTTCCCTGGCTGTCTTGGCTGAACTCTTGCCAGCATATGTGGGAGCTTTTGGGGAACATTGGCAGTGATTAAAGGACTGTTGCTCTTGCCAGCCGACTGCTTTGCCTCCGTTTGGGGCCCTGGGTCATCACACCCTCCTTCCCTGAGCCTCTGGCACTCCACCTGCCCCTTTGGTGGCTCTGTAGGCAGGTGAGGGGGGAATGTGCCCCACCTGTTCCACAGCCGCTTTTGGCCGAGCCGCGTTACAGCGGCATTGGGCGTGAGGCGGCAAACACCGAAACTGGCAGTTTGCCGCCTCCTGCCCAATGCTGCTGCCATGAGGCTGCGGAACAAGCCGGGCGGTGGTAAGGAACCGGTATAATGGCACGTGGCTCAGAAGGGGAGAGGATCTGCCAGGCCTCATGGCAGCAGCATTGGGTGTGATGCGTGAGATGGCAAATCGCTGTAGCCAGCGGCAAACACCAAAAATGGCCATTTGCTGCCTCCTGCCCAATGCCTGTGCCATGAGGCCGTGGAACGAGCTGGGCGGCGGTAAGGAACCGGTATACCGGTACCGTGGATCAGATCCCCCCTCCCCCATTGGCTTTGCCTCGTCACAGGCAGGCCATCTGTGCAGGCCCTTAAGTGGGGCTTGCTTTCAGGGGAGGGCTTATATGAGGCCCACTCCCCCAAAATCAGCTGGGGCTTACTTTTGGGGCCGGGTTTACTTTCAAGGAAACACAGCAATAATGTAAAACTTTGGATCCCGACATTGTAGATGCCAAGCCTTCCTATGAAACCTCACAAATATAACTTAAGCTGCCAGAATTAGCTAAGCTTCTTTTTCTACCTTTTCCTCCCCAAAAGCCCACAGGAGGTGGAGAAGCTGGATCCACGAATAAGCTTTGTCATCCCATTTGTAAGCAAAATGTGCAAATGTTTAAGCTAAGACAAAAAAAAAAAAAAATCTCGCAAATTTTGTCTACAAATGGGATGAGAAAACCTCTTCACTTGTCCAGTTTCCCCACCTTGTGTGGGGGGTTTTTTTGGGGGGGGGGGGGGGGGGGGCAATCCCACTGGGGACATGATCAGGGTCAGGATTTTCTTTGTTTGTTTGGATTTTTTTCTTTCGATAAGGCCGATTTTTCGTTCGGTGAATTGTGCAGCTGTCTTCTCCAGATGAAATGTTTTACGACAGTTGAGGTGAGTACTGAAGTGCTTGTTTTCCCCTGAGGATCCTGATGTTAATCTTCTACTTGCCAAACTGCATCTTATGAAATCTGGTTTCTGAGCCACTTGGGTACGCTTTATCCTAACTTTAAAGATTTAATCTTTGGCTGATTTGCTAGAATCACAGCAGCAGAGAAAGACGAGACTTTCCTGCTACGAAAATAACTGACTTTGGCTGACTGAGCGTTCTTTTCCTTGTGTTCCTTTGTTTCCAAAAGAGCCAACCACCCAAAGGTTTTCCTCTTGGACCGTGGAAGCTGTCCGTGCTTGGATATCTGCTAGAATTTCATATTGGGAACCCTTTGAATCACTTGGATCAGGTACGACTCCTTCACCGCCCTTGCATTAAACTCCAGAGGGTGAATCTGCCGGTGTTTTTGCTGCCGCAGAAAGATGGGTGAATCTGTTAACTTTTCTACATAATGCATATTTTTGGCTTGGCACAGCATTGCGAGAAAAAACATTTACAATCTTATGGAGAAATCAGAATATTACTTAAACTTACCTAATTGGGTAAGTTTAATTAAACCAGGGCATAATTAAACAAGGGTATTAATTATTATCCTTAGCTGGAAATCTTGCATGCTAGCAAAATGTCCAGCTGATGCTTTTAGGCCCACTGCAACGAATAGGCGTATCTCTTTCCACGATCTCCTCCACCTTCTTACATGAGCTTGTGAATCCATTCAAGGGTGTTTCAATAATCCAAGATCCCACGTTTATTCCTGACAAAGTCCCCACCCCACAGCGGCTCCTTTTATCTCAACCCCCCAGGGGTGCCTTGTGGGGTGGGGCGGGACGCTCTCCTCCCGAGCAAGTGAGCTTGCCTGCATTGTTCTCTCCACTCTCCTAGCTCTAGGACAGCGGTTCTCAACCTATGGGTCGCGACCCCATTTGGGGTCGATCGACCATTTCACGGGGGTCGCCAAGCAAGGCTGTCCGCCATTTTCTTCCCCTTTTCCGGCGGGTGCCTTACCTCCCTTGGGCTGGGCCAGCTGGTGGTCGGCCTGCTCTGTCTCTGCCGCTTGCCAGCTACGCCTCGGCCGGCGCAGGGGGCGGAACCACGCATGCGCGGCGCTTCCGGGAAGGGAAAGTCCTCGACTTACGACCGGTTGGGTAGTCCTCGACTTACGACCGGTTTAGTCCTTGACTTACGACCGGTTTAGTCCTCGACGTACGACCAGTTGGGGGTCGCGGCATTAAAAAGGTTGAGAATCACTGCTCTAGGGTCAGGTGGCGGTGGGCCTTGCTCCTCGCCTGAACTCTGTCTCCCCTGTTCCAAACCCGAAGGGCCCTGGCCTGCCTCAGCCTGCTCCACCCCACAGTCCTCCGAAGCCACAGACACCCCTCCCTCGGGGCTCCATTTCCTCACTCACTCACTCACTCACTCACACGTACACATGCACACACACGCATACACTTTTAGTGGCAATTCTTGCACCATTAAAAGCTCCAAAGTTCCCAACCTTTCTTTAGAGAATTATGGACATCAACTCCTGTTCTCTTATGTTTTTCCTATAGGCAAAGTATCCCGTTTTTTTTTTTTAAGTCAAAGAGATAGGAATCCTAGGTCAAAAGAACCTGGAATTTCCATGTCGCCAAAATAGGGTTAGATGGTTTTCTTTCTCTGATATTTCTGTGCACTCTTATTCGAAGGATTTTTTTTCTCGACATTCCTGCGTTGGCATGTATGCACGGATAGCGGAAGACAGTGCACTGCTTTCAGTTCAAATCAAAGGAATGTATTGTAGCCATAGGGCCAAGAAAAATATACAACCTAAAAAGCATATTTGTGTGCATGGACACATGAACTCAAACAGCCACACAGGCATGCAATATTCGCAAGTATGTACATATATTAAGTTAAACAACAAGAAATAAAAATGAAATATAGAATATAAAAGTGCAGGGATGACAGCATAATAATGATAGAATAACCCGAGAATTTGTTTTTGCATCACAAAAAACCCTACTAGGAAAAATTTGCAATGTGGCTAAATCTGATGTCATCTTCAGTAGCATCGGAGCATTCAGTATTCAGTAGCACTGGAGGAATAATATTATAATTAGAATATTATAATTCTAACAATAACTCCTAACTGCCACAGCATTTAGGACATTTACCAGTTCCAGTATGGCTGTATTATTATTATTATTATTATTATTATTATTATTATTATTATTATTATTATTATTATTATTATTATCATCATCATCATCATCATCATCATCATCATCATCTTTTATATAACCTTCTTCTATTAATATCTTATGATTATATTATCTTGTTGTTTGTATGTTTTCTGATTATATTATACTGAGAGCTTATGCACCGGAGACAAATTCCTTGTGTGTCTAATCACACTCGGCCAATAAAGATATTCTATTCTGTTCTGTTCCATTCTATTCTATTTTGTTCTGCTCTGCCCTATCCCTATCCCTATCCCTATCCCTATCCCTATCCCTATCCCTATCCCTATCCCTATCCCTATCCCTATCTCTATTCCCCCCCCCCTTTTTTTTAAATATAATGTTGCTTTTCATTGGCTAACTGCAGGGCCATCTTCTCCAGATTCACGAATGAAATATTTTCTGACATTTTAGGTAATGCTGTATTTTGACAACATTTTTTTCCCCTGTGGTTCCTGTTGTTAATGTTCTCCTTGCCAACATGCAGCTTGTGAAATCTGACTTCTGAACACCGTGCACCTTTTATCTTGACTTCAAAGATTTAATCTTTGGCTCATTTCCCAGGGACTAGGCAGGAGAGAAACACAGAACGAGACTCGGCATGGCTGTTTTAAGTTGGCTGCTTGTTCTTTGCCTCCTATTCTTCTGGTTCTGGAAGAGCAGACGTCTCACAGGCTTTCCCCCAGGGCCATGGAGGCTGCCCCTGCTTGGGAATCTACTTCACTTCATTAAGAGGGACCCACTGAAGGGCTTGGATCAAGTAAGGTTTTTTATCCATTTTCATATTAAACTTCAGCGAGTGAATCTGCCAACATTTTTGCTCCCGCAAAAAGAACCAAAAGGGTTTGTGTGTTTCTGTTAACTTGTCAACATAAGATAAGATAACCTTTATTGTCATATTTTTTTTTTACTGTGGGCACAATGGCACACATCAAAAATGAACTTTAGTTGCCCGCTCTCAAAATGAAACGCATACATGACACACCCATGACACACATACATGAGACACAATTTTTGTTTCATCCAGAATTTAGGGAAAAATATTTAGAATCTTATGGAGATTTGAAAATGCCTTCCATTTGATGCTGAAGAATCCTAATTCCTAATTGCACTGAATGATCCATTAGCTCTTTGAAAGATACATTTGGTTTCCCTTCCAAGTTTCCAAATGAAACATTCATCTTCCGAAAATGACTGGAGAAATTTGATATTTTAAAAGGCTAAAGAAAAGTGTCGTTTATCTGCCTGAATGAGTAGTTTATGATTCGTTTTGTGTTGAATTCCCAATGAGTCCATTCTTTAATTGTATTGTATCCCCTGCTTTTAATTGCATTGTTTTATACTTTGAGAGAATATAATAGACAAAATGGATAAAAGAATCAGGTCTAGGTAGATAAACAAATCTATTAAAGTACTTCTCAGTTAATGCCCATTCATTCACTGACTGTTCAAAATTCTCATGGAGGCGAACAAAGGGATTTATGTCCCTTACCCGGCTTTGAAGGGATATTTGTTGGAGATGGTCGTTGCAACGAGGAGTTATTTGGAATCTGATAAATGGTGAGAGTTAGCAAAAGGGAGACTTTTCTCATGCTATTTCAGCATGTTTCTTGGATAGCAAAACTGGGTCAAAGCCACTGACTCTTAGAAAAGGTGATCTGCCTTGTCCCAGACCTTCTGCTCACCATTAAACAATCTGGGTTCTCCAAACCGGGATCTCATGGTGCCACGACACTACGAGAATTGCCAAAAAACTTTGGGGAATCGAGTTTCATGGAGCTTGAAGTAAATTTCTCAGTGTCATCCTTGATGAAGTATTCTGTTGCAACATTGCCGTGTTTGGTCCCAACTGATCTCCTGATGCCGCTATGCTAACGAGCTTGGTTACTTGGTTTCAGCTAACAAAAAAATATGGTCCTGTCTTCAGCCTTTATCTGGGAGGAACTCCTGCAGTCTTCATTCATGGGTTTCCTTTAGCAAAAGAGGCCCTCGTGGTAAAAGGCATAGAATTTGCTGGGAGGCCAGCATTTCCTCTAATGGATTCCCTCACCAAAAATAAAGGTAATTATCGATAATTTCATTTTTTTTCTTTTTCAAATGCCTGTTTGTTCTTGGTAGGGCTCCCAGTTTCTCATTTTTGTTTTCCAACTGCCAATCATCACTTTTCCTTGAATTCTAGAGTTCAGACTCAAAGTTTCCAGTAAGAAAAGGAAGTCTCTTTAAATGTTAGAATTAGCTCCCTTCTTCTTTTTTTCTTTTGCAACATTTATGAATGACAATCTAGTAGAAATGTTGGTATTCAGCTGAAAAAAAAAATCCTATTTATTTCTTATACTACAAAAAAAAACTCTATTCAATGAATTTTATTATTATTATTATTATTATTATTATTATTATTATTATTATTATTATTATTATTATTATTTATTAAATTTATATCCCGCCCTTCTCCTTGCGAACTCAGGGCGGCTGACAATCAATTTAAAAAACATAAATAACAATTACAGAATTAAAATTAATTAAGAAGAAATATTTAAATATAGTCTAATTAAAATATGATTAAAACCCCTCTAAAAATTGCCCTAGGCCAGTCCCGCTTGTTGGAATAGCCATGTCTTAAGGGCGCGGCGGAAGGAAGGGAGATCAGGGATCACCCTGATCTCTGGGGGCAGCTCATTNACTGTCTGGCCGACGGCACCCTGAGGAGACCCACCCTGTGGGAGCGTACAGGCCGATGGGAGGTAATCTGTGGCAGAAGGCGGTCTCGAAGGTAACCCGGTCCGCTGCCATGGAGCGCCTTAAAGATGATAGTCAGCACCTTGAAGCGCACCCGGAAGGCCACCGGCAGCCAATGCAGCTCGCGCAGCAGCGGTGTTACATGGGAGCGACGAGTCCCACCCAACACCGCCCGTGCGGCCGCATTTTGGACTAGCTGGAGCCTCCGGGTGCTCCTCAAGGGAAGCCCCATGTAGAGAGCATTTTATTCCTTGGCATGGTTATATTTTATTATTTGAGCATGAATTGTGTAATTTCCATAAATCTCTGTTCGTTTACTTATATTGCGGTTTTTAAAAATAGACTTTTCTTTTAATAAACAGATAGTTATTGATAAGCAAGATAAGGGCAAATAACTCCAAGATGGGATTTTTTTTTCCAGGTTTACTGACAATAACATATGGTGAATTTTGGAAGGAGCAAAGAAAGTTTTCTGGGATGCTTCTCAGAAACTTTGGAATGGGCAAAAAATCAATGGACGCAAAGATCCTGGAGGAAGCATCTTATCTGATTCAAGCATTCACCGAAAACATAAGTAAGTTCTTCTGGGACAGGATGGGATGGTTGGGGAATTGTCATTCCAGTGTTGGTTCTGGTTTCCTAAAACTCAATTGAATTGGCCTCAAGGTTGACCATTCAGTGTGTGTATTGAAGCAGAGTGGGAAGAGCTTAGGATTCTGGTTGCATCAATTCTAAGTCCCATTGACCAACCTAAAACATATTGTTCATTTTGTCTCTGTGCTTGTAATGTATGTAAAGGCAGGAGTCCTACAACGTTTTGGTCACCACAATGTAAAAAAGATGCTTAGGCCCTAGAAAGAGTGCAGAGAAGAACAACAAAGATCATTGCTAGACTGGAGGCTGAAACATATAAAGAATGGATGCTGGAATTGGGTATGTTTCATTTAATGAAAAGAAGGACTATTTGGGTGACATGATAGCAGTGTTCCAATATTTGACAGTCTGCCACAAAGAAGAGGGAGTCAAGCTATTCTCCAAAGCACAAGAAGCAACGGATGGAAACTAATCAAGAAGAGAAGCAACCTAGAACTAAGGAGAAATTTCCTTACAGTTAGAACAATCAGTGGAACAACCTGCCTCCAGAAGTTGTGAATGCTCTAACACTGAATGTTTTTAAGAAGAGATTGGAGAAACATTTGTCTGAAGTGATATAGGGTTTCCTGCCTGAGCAGGGGGTTGAATTAGAAGATCTCCAAGGTTCCTTCCAATTCTGTAATTCTGATATTCTATTCTTGGTAGGCGGCTATAAAGTAGAATTCTGGGTATTGGATATTCATAAAGAATTGGGGGGAAGTGGGGGAAGATTCATCTATATAAAATGGCTAGCTTAGGAAACATAACTAATCGCCAACCTCTTGAAATTTTCTTGAAAGACTCTTGGCCATCACAAACTAGGTCTACCTCCTACCACGTTTCATGTTGTCCCTGGGATGTCCTGGTAGTCTTCTACAATGTGATGGTCTCCAAAAGTTTTGGATTAAAAGGCAAACATCCCCTAGAGGCAAAGTTTATGAAGATATGCTTGTCATGGAGATAAGACGAACACAGCAACAAGTTGATATTGAACTAGGAATACATATTTTGCAGTTCATGATGGAAAGCAGAATTCTCTGGTTCTGAATCACGGAAGACCCCAACATTTTCCTTAGGAAAAACCTCTTCTAGTGACTGTTCATTCATCCCTTCCTTCTGTGTTTGGAGCCTGTCCCCTAATTTTTGTAGCTGTTCTAAAACATACATAAATGATGTCACATACATATTCTCTGCATTGACAATCCCCAAGGAGTCTTCTCAGTTGTATCTTAGACAGGGTTCATATACCCGGTTCTGCTAATGATCTACATTACTTTGCAGGGCTAACACTTCGAGTTGTACATTGTTTTAGATTGCAGTAAGATTTTTATTTCTTAGAAAAAGATTGAAAATAGCAGATGCCATTTGACTTTCATTGTTCTTTTAATTCAAAGTTCATGGTGAGCTGATCAGAGAACTGAAATCTCTTGTGGAGACATGATTTTGGGTTCTTCTGATGAGGCCTCTGCAACCAGTAAAGCTGCTTAGGGGGTAGCTTTTGCTATACAGTGTCCAAAATTGTTGTACGCTGTCCAGAGTCATTGGCTTATAAGGTGGACAGCTTTATAAATTAAATGATGGTGATGATAGGCTAGATGGATGGATGGATGGATGGATGGATGGATGGATGGATGGA